ATATTCCTATTTAAGCCTCAAGTCACCATCAGGTGGCTCTAAACAGAGACCAGAATTGGGGTGGATTTGTATCAGACAGCCTGAACCCTGGAATCCTACCCATCAGTTGTACATGCTCAGGCTTATCAGTTCATTAAGCTCTCAAGAGTGATCCTGACTTTGACGTAGTTCATCTTTTGGATTCCAGTTATCAGATTATCAGGTTTTGTATTGTATCTTAATATGAATTGATTGGGGAAGAGATGGGGTTTAATTAGGAAGCCATTGCAATAGTCGGGTGAAGGGGAACAGGATCTGGACAAAGACGGTATGTGGAAATGTAGTGGATATGAGAGGTGGTGTTCACCAGGCCTTGAGCTAGATACATGCAGGAGGGTAAAGGAGAGAATAAAAAGGGAATACCAAGGAGCTTTCTATAGTAGAAGGTTCTGTATAAGGCTGATGTATTTCGGAGCTGAAAATGGTAGAATGTGGAAATGACTGAATATAGACAGCAAAAATGGATACAATAAAATCCAGGAAGTCTCTACAGGGTGGGACATAAATGATTCCAAGGTACTGGGAAAATAGGGAAATTAGAAGACAGAGCCAGATCCATGGAGTACAGATGAACTAGAGTTTGGATCAGTTACAGATGACCATAGTAGGCAGCATGAATTTTATCTAATTCCCCCTAAACTAGTGCTAGTGAACTGGTTTTCTCTCTTGTTCTTATATTAGTGAACGATTGTTCAGATATCTGTCCCATGAGAGGCAGCCAAGCCATGATTTGAGCATTGTCTTTGTAAACCTAACTAATCTCTCTCAAATTCTGGTTCTGCCACTTACTAGCTTGGTTTCCTTAGATAAGCTACTGACTCCTCCCTCCTACAGATTCTCACTTTTAAAGTGGGGACAATAATGCTGAGTTGATCAGGGCGTTATAATGATGAAATAGATCTATTCAAAAGGTCTTGAACATGCTGGGACATTGTGAATATTGTCTATTTTATTCAATGCATAGACTCTAAGACCAATGTTTCAGTGGATAATTTATAAATCTTATTTTTATAATTAGGGTTTACTACTTTTAGGATGTCTATTAGGTATTCTAATTGAAATTTAATTTTCCTTAAATACTCAAAACTACCTTTTGAGATCGGTACTCTAACAATCCTAACTTTGTGATTTTACACAAAACCTCTATTGAACACATACTACCTGGCAGGTGGCATTCTAAAACTGGGAACTAAGGAACAGAAATAAACTCCTTGATCTCCTGGAGCTTAGGGTCTACATTTTGTATTTGTTATAATAAACAGATGAACAGCTGGTGATCAGGTAAGGTGATGAGTACTAAAAAGAAAAATATAAAGCAGGGTAAGGGGATAGAGAAAAATGAAGTGGTCAGTGCTATTTGAGATAGGTTGGTCAGGGAAGCCTCTTCTATACATGAACTTGGAGCAGACACATGGAAGAGGTGAGGAAGGGAGCCATGTGGATATCGGCGGGGGGGGGGGGGGGGGTCAGTGTTCTAAGAGGAGGAGGGAGCTAGTGCAAGCTCCTTAGGTGCAGAGCACGTAATGTGTGGGAGAGTGTAGAGGTCTGTGGCTGATGCAGAGTGAAGGGGAAAACAGAGCAGGGTAGCTGTGGGCAGAACAAAGAAGTTAAGTTGCCATAGGTACCCAGGGAGAAGGGTAATCAATGCCTCTTAAAGAGTCTTCATCTCTTACTGATAGAGTGATCTCCTGGCCTTTAAAAGCATGCATACCTATCCCTATACTATACACATGGTGGTGAGTGCATACCTGGCGTTATACCTGACAACAGTGGAGCGTCACATTGCTATTGATTTCCAGGGAGCTTAACATTGCCTTTGATGATGAAGTTAGTTCTCTCTCTGATTTCAGCTCCTCCTCCTCCCCCTTCCTGGATAAGCCTCTTTTGGGCTTCGACTCTGGCGGCTTTTCGAACTTGAATCAGGCCTGGCTTGTACTTCTACACCTCCATTCCTTCAGCTTGAAACACACTTCTAGATCTTTGCATGGCTGTCTTTTCATCATGTAGCTCTCCTATCCTAGGTCACCCCCTCAGTAACCATTATACAGGTTTTGCAGAGAGGATATAAAGACTTCCCTGAGAAAACAGAGAGGATTATCTACTTATTGGGCTTTCTGTACAGCTATGTCCCTGAATCAAACTTAGGACAACTTGTTTTTAGTATGGCTGCTGATGAAGGGGCAACTTGTAGAAAAGAGAAACAGTGATTCAGTGGTGAGTGGGGAGGTTGGGATAACCCATATTGTCCAGGGCTATTCTGGCAGGCGAGTGGGAGAAGGAAAAATGCACCTTACCCACCAACCCAAGGGACTTACTTTCTTCTCGCTATTTAATATCCCATCTAGTAACAATACATATGCTGAGAATGAGCTGCTTAAAGCAAAAAAGAAAATGTTCATAATAAATACCTGTTATGGCCAACAGCTCATATAAAATGCAGAGGTTTGTTTCCTGTAGGATTATTTCCTTAGCAATCCTGTAGCTGTGTCAGCAGCCTTCCTGCTGCTTCATTGGGAACAGGGAAAGATACATTTTAGATTTCAGTCCTGAGGAAAGAAACTGAGTGGAGAGGCAACTGGCACACACAGACTGCTTGCCTTTCATAGGGTAGCTAAAGTGGATATTTTCTTATGACTCCATCCAGATTTGGCATATTTGGCAAAGGCCTTCTCTCCCAAGATGTACCCAAGGGCTTGTGAACTGAATCTCCAGTGCATCTGATAGGGGAGGACTGGCCTAACTAGAGCTGATATTCATTGTGAGCTGTAGCAGTATCCATCTTAAACCTAATGATTCCCAAAGAACACTTCCTTTCCCAAAGGCACTTTAGGAACGAGCCCATGTGTTTGGGAAACTGGGTTAAATAAGCTTTCTTATATGATTTCTCAGAATCTTTAGGATAATAAAGACCTTGATTGTAAACCAACCAAGAAGGACTAATGTTTGGCTTATTTCTTAAATGTGTTTGGCCATAGAAACTTTCTTCCAAGAGGAGTCTTCAAGGAAGTACTTTCAAAAAGGTGTTCTAGATACATGCTGTGGATTGTTGGTCCACTTTCTGGAACTATAAAAGGCAGAGAGAATTGCATCCCAAACCCATCCCCTACCACCCAAACCTCCTCTCAATTCCTTTAATCTGTACTTTGTAACTTTCTTCCAGGAGACCGTACACCTAGCTTCCAGGTAAATCATTGGCTTGGTCATTTGGGTCGTGCTCATGTATTATAGAATAGAGGATGGATGTGTCAGGACTACTGTTCCCAAATATTGGACATGTATCACTTACAAATGTATTTTATGTCTCGGGATATCATCTGCCTGCGGCACCTAAGTAATCTGACTGAAGTTAATTGTGAAGTTCAGACCTTTAAGGAAGGTGAATTGTAGTTTTTAGCATCCATTTCATCAGAGCGTGAGACAGTGATGAATGATGTCAAAACAGAGGGTGCAGAATAATGTTTTCCAGAGGACATTTGTAATCCTTTGTGGTGAATCTAATATATACTTACTGAGTCAGCAGTTCAAAATGACTCATGCCCCATGCTATGGTGTCCGCACATAATCCCAGGACCTAGCCACTCCTAGATCCTCTGTATTTTGAAGATCTTGATCTGAACGTATTTCAGTAGGATTTTTTAGGTTCAGATCTGCCCCAGGGAAGCCTTGGGCAGAGGAGTAAGTTGTCAGGGTTTCTTGGGACTTGGCCTATTCAGAGGTCTTGTAAAGGATACCATTTATTTATATCTCAGATTTAGTAGTCTAACATAAGGACCCATAGCTTGCTTAAGAATCTATAAGTGAGTAACTTAAAATTTAAAATAACTTCAACGACAAAAGATGAAGGAAAAGTGAATGTGAAAAGAAGAGCGATAAGGTTATTCATGTCACAGTTAGTAACTGACTTCTGGGATACACATCTCCTACTGGTTAGATAGGTTACCGATATGGATATTACCCTGTGATTTGGGCGAGGCTGTTCACTGAGAGCACTAGATGGAAGTTTTAGTTTGCCAAAGCAAGACAAATGCAGCTTTCCCAATAAGCATTAAAGAATCAGCCAGAAAAGTTAATTGGAACAGATTATGAATTTTGCAACTTGGGAACTTCTCATGAAGTTGTATGCTTCACATATTTTAGCTTGTATCATTTAAAAAGGTTTTTAAACATTGCTCAGAGATGAAGACATCATTTGAAGAATATTAATGAAAAATATAGCTTAATTATTGAGTCATGTTTCATATTAAGTTCTTTCATGTAGGATCTTTTAGAAAGTATAATGCATTTTCAAATATTACACATATGCAGAATTCCTTGAAGAGGATCAAGGATCTTCGCTCACTTCATGGATCATTGATACGGTATATTATGCTCTCAAAAACAATAAATCTTTGAAGTCTGGGGGGAAAAATATTCTGTGATGGACTACAGCTTCCATTTCCATTATCTTTTTTTTTAAAGATTTTTAAAAAAATTTTTTTATTTGACACAGAGACAGTGAGAGAGGGAACACAAGCAGGGCGAGTGGGAGAGGGAGAAGCAGGCATCCTGCAGAGAAGGGAGCCCGACAGGGGACCGATCCCAGGACCCTGGGATCATGACCTGAGCTGAAAGCAGATGCCCAACCACTGAGCCACCCAGGCGCCCCTCATTTGCGTTATCTTTTAACAATGAAAAAATTTCTAATTTCAAGCAGTTCTCTCCAGATCTTGGTTTTCAAAAAAGCAGGGAGGGTAATTGAAAAATTATTTTTCTTTTATGAGGTTCTTGATTTCTTGCCCATTCCAACTCAGTGCTATATGCCCCATTTGAGCTCAGATTGGTGCCTCTTTGATTCTGCCCTTACTCCTCAACATGTTTACCAACTCTCTGTTCTTCACCTTTTGTAGAACTTTTAAAAATGGTAATGGAAAATCAAACTAGTAAGAGTTCTTATAAGTGATGGCAGCACTGGAAGGTCTTACCTCTTTCTAGAGCATGCACAAATGCTACAGCAAGCAGAAGGACCAGGATCACCTTCATCTTTCTGCCAGCAAGTTCTGCAGCACCCCGTCTCCTGTACATGACCCAGTACAAAGTAGCAGCCCAAAGTAACCAATTTCTTTTTACTAAGATTCCTGACTGTGAACTAATCAATTATTAATCTCTACACAGAAGCAAGGGCAGTCATCCTTGGCCCACAAGAGGTAAAATAATATCAATCAAGGCAAATAGACACTCTGGGGAAAATATAGGACATTTTAATCATTAACTTTGTCAAACTGCCAAAGAGGGGATACATAGAATTTTTTTTCCCCACTGCTGCTTTTTTCTAAAATTAATGTATTAATTGGCACATATCCCTCCCCCCACCCCAACACTTACAGGGTTATGTGTTTTGGACCTTCCCTACACTTCTCATATTTAAACGGAAACCTGGAGGTTTCTCTCTATTGGTCTGCTTTTCTTTCTTCAAATTTACTACACATAAGGATTACCTTAAAATATTGAAGACTAGATATTTTTAAGTCCTAAGGCGCAAGGGGATTAGAAGCCAATTTATCACAGTTGCCTGGTTTCATAATCTTAATGTTCTAAAATTTTATTGAAGATGGTGGGATAGTACTTTATGTGCTATATTACACCTCTTGAAGCACTGACATATTTTAATACATATTTTTAAAGATATTTATGAGCAAAACAGAGTGAGCATGAGAGGGGGGAAGGGCTCTCCACTGAGTGAGGAGCCCAATGCGGGACTCGATTCCAGGACCCTGAGATCATGACCTGAGCTGAAGTCAGACACTGAACTGACTGAGCCACCCAGGCACCCCTATTTTAATACATATTAAAAATAGCCCTTAAAATAAAACATTGAACCCAGTTCTAAACATTGAAACCCCCCCTGAACCCCTCGGATAGAATACATAGTCAAAAATTCCATTAAAGTCACCATTTTAGTGTTCATATTTTAGCTAAGTTTTAATTTAAGAAAAATGTCCTTAAACCAGTAGAGATGTTTTGTCTTGTGTTATTTCCTTTGCACTCATATACTTCCAACAGCAAGTGACAAGCTCGGCCTCTACTGTTCTTTCACCCACCATGGTTCTGTTGATGATTTCTTGGTTTAAGGTCCAGTTCTAATGTGATTAGAAAATATCACTGGGATTTACTGAGAAAGATGAGAAGAGTAAATTAATGTTTGAACTTGAAGACAGTACAAGTCTATCAAGGAACCTCACAAGTAAGTGATATCAAATACTACAGGATATTAAATGAGAAAAATAATATCATGTAAATTGAGCTTTATATGGAACCCATATGTAGCAGCTGAATGCAATGTGTACTTGAATCTACCATTAAAACAAGCATTGTCCCAAACCTGGGAAAAAAAAATAGCCCTTGAAGTGAGGCAAATAACTAGGATGGTGGTGGTAAATGACTTACCCCAAATCACAAAAGCTCGTTGCAAATCTTGGACTCCCTAGAGCTCATTTAAAGTTCTTTCTATGGGGGTGCCTGGATGGCTCAGTTGGTTGTGTCTGCCTTAGGCTCAGGTCATGATCTCAGGGTCTTGGGAATGAGCCCTGCATTAGGGACAGGGGTGGAGTCAGGTCCCTGCTCAGCGGGGAGTCTGCCTCTCCCTCTTCCTCTGCCCTTCCCTTGGCTTGTGTTTTCTCTCTCTCTCTCTCTGTCTCTCAAATCTTTTAAAAAAAATTCTATGAATTCTATAAAATTAGTATATTTTGGGATACTATAGCTTGAGAGCTCACAGTGGCCTCGTGGAAAGCAGAAGAGGGAGTATTTTACAAAAGAGGGGACCAAGTCCCAGATAGGTTTTGTAACTTGCCCAGAGAGGCACAGTTATCATTCATCCCATCATTGGAATCGGGTCAGTGCCTGGGTCTTGCAGTAGCCCTTTGTTTCCAGAAACAGTGTCAGGTCAGGATTGGGACACAAGCCCTGAAACCAAATCCTTACTCAGTTCTTATTGGCCCTGTAATTTTGGGAAGTTTTTTTTTTTTTAAAGATTTTTTATTTATTTATTTGACAGAGAGAGTGAGAGAAAGCACAAGAGCAGAGGGAGAGGGAGAAGCAGGTTCCCCACCTAGCAGGGAGACCGATGTGGGGCTCGATCCCAGGACCCTGGGATCATGACCTGAGGCCAGGGCAGACGCTCAACTGACTGAGCCACCCAGGAAGTTTTGTCTAAGCTTTATTTTCCTTGTATGCACAGTGGTGATAACTCTAGTACTGTTGTCACAAAGTTGTTGTGAGCTTAATGAAGATAATCCATGTGCAGGGTTTATATCAAACGGATGATGACATTAACATTATCTATTACTGTTAATGTTAGCTATTACTGTTATTCTAGTTATTCATGTTCTTCACTGGCTCTCCAAACCAAGAAGGTCACTGGGACTCAGTGGAATATTTTTAAAGCCAGCCCTGTATCCTGGATTTAGGACCATCACAGACAAATGATCTAGAATTTCAGTATCCATTTAGTAGATAAGGATTAATTGCATGGGCAGATTCCATCCAAATCTTAGTAAACTGCTCTAAGAGTTTACATTTTTAGTCTGATCCCCCATCTGTATTGAAAATAGTGGGGTTTTAGGTTCAGAAAATGGAGTCCAGTTAGTTGGAAAAAGATGTCTGCTTTGATCTTGTTTAGTTACCTCTGTAAGGCCAATGGAAATCTGTGGTAAAGGAGTTGAAAAGATACTATAAACCTTGCTAGAGACAGAATGGGAAGATAGTCTTGCTGTTTAAGAACCAGCTCTACACTGTTCAAAGATGAACTTTCCGCCTACTAAAAATCTTCTAAACTTTTCCTTTGGCTAAACTATGAGTTTACTTTGTAAGTTAAAAAATGCTTTAGTCTTACTGTAAATTATTTGGAAATCAACTCTAAATGAGGGCCAAAGAGTTTAAAAAAAAAAGAAACCCAGAACTCAGAATAACTGACAGATTAGTTTCCATTTTTAAGATAACACAACATATGTACTCTTAAAGTTTTTAATTTAACAGTATTTTAGTCATCTTTTGATTAGTTCATTTAAAGATATATTGTTTCCCATTAAATTTGCTACAGGGTTTAAGATCAGCCTGTTCTTGCACTTAAAAAAAATAACTTTATCTCTGCTTTTGCAATAGCCTCTACCATTCCTGTTTAATGACAAACTACATGTAGCAAGAATTGCAACATCTCATTTAGGTGTCCTCTTGAGAAATCTCTACACAAGCTGCCAAATGCATTCCCCTTGGCTGAGTATCTTTTTCTAACTGAAAATTAGCTGTCACATGCTAGTAGCTAAATATATGAATCTTTGGTCTGTCTTATTTCTGTAAGTTTCCTGAATCTTTCAAATATTGATTGCTTACAATGATTCAAAATTTGGGAAGAAATAACCCTAATTGGCTTAAATGAGAAGTCTCATGTTGCAATGACTAGTACATCTGAACTGTTACAGTAGCAGTTATGGCAACTTAAATTTATTATTGAAATAGATTTTTAAAAAAGAATTCTTTATTAAATAAGCAGTAGAATTTTACAGTTGTTTTGCCTGTGAAGAATTGAAATGAGGCTCTTGGCTGGCTCAGTTGGTAGAGCATGCAACTCTGGGTTTCAGGGTTGTAAATTCCAGCCCCACTCTGGGTATAGAGATTAGTTAAAAACAAAATCTTAAAAAAAAAAAAAGTCTTCACTTTATCTTGCCGTTAGCTTTAGAAGAAATGCAGGTTTTTTACATAAGCAAGGCTAGTTCTAGGCAAAATTGTGAGACAAAGCCAATCTTTATTCTTTCCCTATTTTCTCTTCTTTTAGTAACTCCTAGACCATACACTTTACCAAAACTGTATTTTGAACACTTCTATGCTGCTATAGGCTGCTTAGAAACTCTTCCATTATAGTGTAACAGTAGAAATTGCCTTCAAAATGATTTCATTTGCCAGAATGTTCTTTTAATTCAGATTCTCTCTATGCTATTAGTGTGGTGTCAGTGTCTTGCCCTGATGAATGACCTCATGAGATGGATGTGTTAATAGCATAAAGTATGTATTATCCTTAAAGTTGATGTTCAGAGCAGGAATAGAACATGATCTACATTGCAGAATACTTTTAAGATTTTATTTATTTGAGAGAGCACACGAGCTGGGGGAGGGGCAGAGGGAGAGGGAGAGGCAGACTCCCTGCTGAGTGGGGAGCCTGATGTGGGGCTCAGTTCCAGGACCCTGAGATCATGACCTGAGCCAAAGTCAGATGCTTAACTGACTGAGCCACCCAGGCTACCCCAGGTCTTTTTTTTTTCTTTTCTAATTCTTATTTTAATTCCAGTATAGTTAATAGTTAATAGTTAATATGCAGTGTTATATTAGTTTGAGGTGTACAATATATTGATTCAACATTTCCATACATCACTCAGTGCCCATCACCGGAAGTGCACTCCTTAATCCCCATCGCCTATTTCAGCCATCTCCCTACCCACTGCCCCTCTGGTGACCATCAGTTTGTTCTCCATGGTTAAGAGTCTGTTTCTTGGTTTCTTGTTTTTTTTTTTTTTCCCTCCCTTTGCTTGTTTCTTAAATTCCACAGATGAGTGAAATCATATGGTATTTTTTTAATCTCTGATTGACTTATTTTGCTCAGCATTATATTCTCTAGCTCTATCCATGTCCTTGCAAGTGGCAAGATTTCTTTTTTTTATGGCGGAGTAATATTCCAATGTATACATCACCTCTTCTTTTCCATTCATCTGTTGATGGGTACTTGGGCTGCTTCATAATTTAGCTATTGTAAATAATGCCGCTATAAACATAGGGATACATGTATCCCTTTGAATTAGTGTTTTTGTATTGGGGGGGGGTAAATATCCACTGGTGAAATTACTGGATTATAGGGTAGTTCTATTTTTAACTTTTCAAGGAATCTCTATACTGTTTTCCACAGTGGCTGCACCAGTTTGCCTTCCCACCAACAGAGCAAGAGGATTCCTTTTTCTCCACATCCTTGTCAACACTTGTTGTTTCTTGTGTTTTTAATTTTAGGCCTTCTGACAGGTGTAAGGTGATAGCTCATTGTAGTTTTGATTTGCATTTCCCTGACGAAAAGATGCTCAACATCACTGATGATGTATCTGTTGGCCATCTGTAGGTTGTCTTTGGAGAAATATCTGTTCATGTCTTCTGCCCATTTTTTAATTGTTTTTTTTTTTTTTTTGGTGAGTTTTAGAAATTCTTTGTATATTTTGGATACTAACCCTTTATTGGGTGTGTCATTTGCAAATACTCTCTCCCATTCAGGAAGTTGCCTTTTAGTTTTGTTGATTGTTTCCTTTTCTGTGCAAAAGCTTTTTATTTTGAGGTAGCCCTAATAGCTTGTTTTTGCTTTTATTTCCTTTGCCTCAGGAGCCATATCTGGAAAAATGTTGCTATGGCTGATGTCAGAC